GCCTTTATTAAAATATTGGCGGGGGGGCGGGGCCCGGGTTTTTTTCGCTTTTTCCCCAAGAGGGGGGTTTCCAAACCCCCCCCCCCCCCCCCCCCCCCCGGGGTCAATCCCGGGGCCCGGGGGAAGAGGAAGATTAAACGGGAAAACACAAATGTCCCCCCCCGGGAAAGGGGGGTACATTTCGGGAACAGGCTTTTTGCCCCCCCCCCCCCCCCCCTCCTCACCGCTGATCACCGTGCGGGCCTCCCAGCGAGCGACCGTGCCGCCCAGCAAGCAGTCCGTCTCCACGAGAAACGTGCCCATCGGCGTCCTCGAGACTCCCGTGACATTGACCGGACGCACTACGTTGAGCTTCATGACAGATTCGTACTCCTCCATGTACCTGTGTGTGGTGTAGTAAAATTGTTCGGGAAGTGGTGGGAAACAGATTTCATGTGGAGAAGGAGGAGTTCAGAGGGGGAAGCGGGTCGCGACGGGATAGTTATTCAGGGGCCAAGGGTATCGGAATCAACACGGCATTGTGCCTTCAATCCGATGACGAGCCCTACATGGACAATCAAGAGGACCGATCGCACCAACCCCACAACAGCAACAGTCGCAACACTAACACAGCAATCAGAAGCGTCTCACATGGCCATCTCTCCCGTCGAGGGGTACCCGTCCTCGCAAGCCCCGTTCGCGAACATGGGATATCCGGGCAGCGAGCTCCACTTTCGTGTCGAGAACAACTCCAGCGAAGGCCAACGGTGTCTCCAAGCTCCTCCGGCCTCCTACGAAAGGCGATTCCGGTTAAATTAGGCGGTCGCGAGGTCACAGGACGATCAAGACCGGGAGGGGGGGGGGGGTTATCAATGCGCCTCACGATGGCGACAAAACGCTTCAGACCGAATGATGATCATCGCGGGGGGGAGGGGCGAAATACACGAATACTTGCGGGAGAGATGACCGTCGACTGTTGCACTATGCCAGGAGCAATATACAGTAGTACATGCTTCAGTAAACTAAGGCGGAAGTGAAGGTCGCTGCCTCCCGACCCCTTCAAAAGAGAATCGCACTGATATAGACAAGGAACTATCCAGGCGAAACACGCGAAGGGGTGCTAACCAACGGACCGTGCAGGTGCCAGAGAGGGGGGACAGCGCACAACACACACAAAAACACACACCTGATTGGCATCCAGGGTCACAACCCGCAGTCCCCCGGCCCTCTGTAGGTGGTAGGCCACGCTGAGCCCTGCCTGTCCAGCCCCGACAACAACGGCGTCAACCCTTGTGGCGCCGGCGCCACCGCCGCCTTGGCCGTTCGCCATTCCCGTGTAGGCGGCGGCAGCGGGGGCCAGGAGCGACGACGATGACGACGATGGGGGTGCCATTGCTCCCGCCGCTGTCCTAGGGCCACTGGGGGAGGAAGCGCACGCCGCGACGGACGACACCGCTCGTCTTGGACCGCTGGCTCCGCTGGCGTTTCTGGCGGAAGACGCCATCGATGGAGATAACGCCGCCGCCGCCGCCGCGGTTTCCGACTTGGCCGGGCTTCTTCCCCCTCCATCCCCGGCTGACGATTGCGCCGCCGCCTCGTGCCGGCGACAACTCGTGGAAAACAGGTTCCGAGTTGTTGTCGCGTTGTTGACGGCGGTTGTGCGCCCACCCACGACACAAGGGGCTACGCGCGACGAGGGATTTCGAGCGGTGGAGGAAGGGGTGCGGCCATGGTGTTTCGCTGATGCTGCTGAAGCTGCTGCTGCTGCTGCTGCTGAAACTGCGGTTTTGCTTCTAACAGCTAGGGTGTTCAGTTGACGGTTGAGGGCCCCGGACATGGCGTTGGAGGTTCGGAGAACAAGTCTTTCGGCACTGACGCGGGCCCTCAAGAGCTAAGTGTTTGTTAAGCCTATTTCTTCCTCTCTTTAGAACGCTGCTCTGAAAGACAAAAAGCTGGAACGATTGATATCAACAATCGACCGGTGAACTTTTTCTTTTTCGTCGTTTCGAGACAGGCGGCGGGAGAAGTTACA